GTTTGCCAGGTGTGGTGGTGCATGCCTGTAATCCCAGCACTCCAGAGGCTGAGGCAGGAGGATCGCTGTGGGTTCGAGACCAGCCTGGGCTACATAGTGAGCTCCAGGACAGTCTCAAGTACATAGTGAGACCCTGTCTCAAAAAATGTCCCCACAAAAAATCAGGGATGTAGTTCACTACCACAAAGGGCATAATATTTTGTTATAAAAACCCACCTCATATTATTCTATTATAAACTTGTATTCAGCATAATAGTAGACAGCTGTATGTCTCCATAGCTGCGCCTAGGGGATACATGAAGCGATCTTTGTGTTTACCCACTTGGCACAATGAACAGTAAGATGTATGCACATGTGCAAAAGTAATAAACTGGGACTTTCACCCACATAATGCTCCAGGTAACAGGTTCTGCATATATTTTGAGCATCACAGGGTATAAAATACATCCATACCACTCTTGTATTATGAAAACATGTATTTTATTTTATTTTTTGGTACTGGGGATCAAACTCGGGCCCTTGTGCTTATAAGGCAGGTGGCAGAACCAGAGCCAAACCCCTGGCCCTAAAATATGTATTTTACCAATGGGATGTGGGTATGACTCACAGTAGCTGCCCCTGGGGAAAACAAAAACCCATGTATGAATTCACCCACTTGGCAGATGAACAGCAAGATGTGTACAGGAGCTCCCAAGCAGCAACAGGTGAGTTTTACTCATGAAATTCTTATTGCTAAATTTCTGTGCTATTAGGATTTGTTTTTTAAAAAGTTTTCTTTTGATTTTTCTGGTAGAAGTAGCCTAATTAAGGGCCAGGGATTTAACTCAGTGGTTCTGCCTCCTGCCTTGCAAGCACAAGGGCCGGACTTCAATCTCCAGAACCCCCCCCCCCAAAAAAAAGTAGCCCAACTCAGTACAATGGCACATGAAAAACCAGATTTGCAAGTTTTGGAGGAGGTCAAAAGCCAATCATCAGGTAACTCATGCATGGATGATGTATGAACCGAAGTTCCTATGACAGTGGCATGGAGTGAGAATCCACTGATACAGAGAATGCAGACCTCCTTGATTCAGGTGACAAAGACAGCACCAATGTGAATAAATATTTCACTAGTGGAAATGTTGCAAAATGGTCAACCAACCAAACAGAACGATCCAATGGTAAAAATAGGTCTAAAAATATAGTGAAGATCTTGGCAGGGCTTAAACCTATTGGACAGAATGCCAGTACCGCCATTTACTGATGAAAATTGTAACAGACAAAAATGCTACAAGATGTTGTAAAATATACAAAAACTGAAATACAAGTAAAACATTGTACATATTAAAAAATTTAGATTTGGCTCAGTGGTTCTGCCACCTGCCTCGAAAGCACAAGGGCCTGAGTTCAATTCCTGGTATCAAAATATATATATATTATTATGACACCTCTGGGGCTGAATGGAAAGCATTCATAGGTTTGCTGTACTCCGCAGGGATTTCTCATGGTAATCTCAGGAATGTAATAGATTTACAGAAAAGCAATGGGTCAAAACATGGTGTAAAAATTTATGACCTTATAGATGTGAAGACCCAGGGCCGGGGATTTAGCTCAGTGGTTCCAGCGTCTACTTTGTAAGTGCAGGGACACGAGTTTGATTCCCAGTGCCAAAAAATAAATAAATAAATAGATGTGAAGACTTATGCTTGCAATTTAGAAATTAATCCTGAAACTCAGCCACCAGGGTCCTTATTCGTATAGTAATAAACCAAATGATATTGAAAACAGACTTTTTGCTCCCAACTTCCAAATTAATCAAAATGTAACATTAGACAATGGGTTTACCAGTTTCCAACTGATGTTCCCTTTACTAACATAGCACCAGCTGACCAGTGTAGGAACCATATGCAGGAAACAAAGCAGAAATTTCTAATGAAATGTTGTAATTTCAAAACAGAATTGTCTACTACAATCTTCAGATTTCAGAAAGATACACTGGCCTCGTATAAGGACAAGAAAGACAAAGTGGTACCGCTAATGCCAACACTGAGCCCTGCTGGAAATACTGACAGGGAAAGCTGGACAAAAGGGGAGACCGATACAGTGCTTTTCTACACCAAAACCAAAGGCGTAGTAGATGCTGTTGATGAGTTATGTGGCAAAAACAATGTCACTGGAAACACAAAACATTGGCCAATGGTTGCGTTTTACTTGATCCTAAACGTGTGTGGCATAAATACCTTGATCATTTACAAAGAAAATAAGTGCAAAATACCAGGGAATAATTTTGTTAGGGGAATGAGATCATTTACAGCAGAGGAAAACAAAATGTTTCTGCCCAGGGAACTATGCAAAACAACTGTGAAGCACACCAGTGAGCATCACAAAGACCTTCAACGACAGGAAAACTAAAAAGATGTTGACTGTGCCCTATAAAAAGTACAGGAAAACAGAGCACACAATACTTGTGTATGGAACACGCAGTTTTCATGTTTGAAGACTGCCTTGGGTGTAACAGTTGAAGCAGATTATTTCGGTGGTAGGCTACTGTTTATATTTACACTGTAGTTCACAAAAGTATTTCTGATGTTATCTTTCAGGTTTGTAAGCAAGTGAACAGCTGATGTGGAAATGTTGATCTCTATTCTAACCACTCATGACATATTTAATATTTTATTTTATTGATATCTTAGTTTCCCAGTAAATGCTTGCTGTACAGTATAGCAAGTTCCTGACAGAAAGGTAAGACAAGAGAGGTGACAAGAACGGCCTACCACACGTGAAAAGAAAGCGAAGCACAAGTGCTGTCAGTGTAAGCGATACATTGTACAGAACATGTTGTTACATGTGAAGACTGTTTTAGGTGTGATAAGGAGTTCTATTAGTATTTGCATTGTATTCATATAGGAAATTTTTTCTGTTGTTCTTTTTTAGACTTTGTACACCAAAATACAGTCAATGTTGAAAATTTTGATGCTTTTACTCAATATTACAAATTTAATACTTAATTTTTTGATATTTTTTCCTGTTGAGTACCCATTGTTTAAAATAGTAAAACTCATTGGTGGTGCACGCCTGTAATCCCAGCACTCGGGAAGCTAAGGCAGGAGGATTGCTGTGAGTTCGAGACCAGCCTGGGCTACACAATGAGTTCCAGGTCAGTCTTAACTACATAGTGAGACCCTGTCTCAAAACAAACAAACAAACAAACAAACAAACAAAACCAAACAAAAAATAAAATCATAAAACTCATAAAGTTAATAATTTATCAATAGAAATATTCTAAATAATAAACGTGGTCATTAAATGCCTACAACAATATGACAAAATTGTGTTGTGCCCCTTGGGCTACATCCAGTGATGGAGCTCCATGGGTTCCACCCTGCAGCACACAACACACGGGCTCTCCCTAAGTTGCCCAGACTGGGCTCAGACTTGTGAGTCTAGTAGCTGGGGTTCCAGCCCTGCATCACCACACTTGGCTAAAAGGGTAACTTTGCGGTTTGTGAATTTTACCTCAGTAGAGCAAAAAAGGGGAAAAACACATCTACAGCATTATCAGAGCGTGAGGGATATGACGGCTGACTCTGCCCTCCATAGGACATCAGATTGCCGACGGCATGGGTTATGCCCAGGCTCAGGCCCAGGGCCTACGAGAACACCCTGTTCCAGACCCAGGGAGGGGAGCAGCTACCCTGCATCTCAGCCCCAGCTCAGAGCATGGGGTGTGTGTGTGTGTGTGTGTGTGTGTGTGTGTGTGTGTGTGT